GGATTTCATAGGAAATGGTTATTATTTGTGCTCCCAGAAACGTTTGCTGTAAAGTGCATATTTTGAAATTTGCGAGTGGCTGACTGCCACAGAACTAGTGGTGTGCCTTATGCAGTAAAGTGTGTAAAATGCTAGTTTGTTGTGACTATTGTTTCCATTAGGTATAGATAGCAATTCTGTGTGACAGACTCAAAGTGTTGGCACTTCTGGCAGCTGCCTTTTGCATCTGATGCATGTGCGAGCTGGTGGATTTTGCCAGTACCGCTGTCTGATTTTTTGCATGGCACAGTGGTGAGCATTTTGTGTGTTGTTTTCAGTGGCACAGGAATAGAGTACTTATAGGGTGACACATTTGCAATAATGACTGATGGACTGACGTCTAGGGAAAGTTAACGGCTGAGAAAAGAAAACCATTAAAATATGTTTGCTGAAATCAGATATACTGAGTCACACACCTGATGAAACTACAGTGTTGATCATTTTATGAGGCCACACATTTAAAAGAAAAATCAACTCCATACACAAAACTGTTTTTTTTTAAAAACTATTTATACATCAGATCTATTACATTGTGTAAATATGAATGTTAAAAATACATAAACAGTGGACGGATTACACAGTCTTAGTTCTGTTACAATGAGAACTGAAGACCGCAAAGAAAACAATACTGGTTTAGCATTCCCCCCCCCCCCCCCCCAATAAAAAATATGCATGTTTAGATGTCTAATAGAATAATTACTGTAGCATTTCTTACTTACTTACTTAGTCGCTCCTCTTCTACCTTGGGGTGTAGAGGTTTGCCAGAGAGATCGCCAGGCGTCTCTATCAGCAGTTTTCTTTCTGGCTTTGTTCCATTTCAGTCCTCTGTCAGTCAGGGACTGTCGGATGTTGTCTTCCCAGCGCACCCTGGGTCGTCCCGGAGGTCTGGTTCCCTGGTTCTTAGCCTCCCATGCTTGCCATGGTGGCCGATTTTCTCCCATTCTGCACACATGTCCAAACCATCGTAACTGTGACTGATCCACTCGGGTTAGTAAGGGCTGGGTATCAAGATCTTGACGTATTGTCTGATTGCGGACTTTGTCCCTTCTTGTCACTTGGACCACCTTTCTCAAGTATCTCATTTCCGAGGCCTGCAGCTGGCTTCTGTGAGCTGTTGTCCTGTAGCATTTCTTTGTTCATAAATTGTATGTATGGCCTCCGGGACCCCACTGTGGGGAAAACAAGAATAAACGCATTGCCTCTACAATAAACATGTCATGGGAGTTGACTAATCAAGGCCTCATTCGAAGTCGGAGAGCATCTGCCCAAGAGGCAAGGAACAACCAGCTGCACACAAACAAACCAGTAAGATGCATGTACATGCAAAGCTCAGGGCCTGACACAAAGCTAAAGTCTAAACAGACAAACAACCAGGACACTCCACTAGAGCTTACAGCGGGTGAACAAAGAAGAAGAAGAAGTATATTCTAGGTATTGGATGTAACTGCCCAATGGTGTATTCAGACCTAGTTCTAGTTCTTTTACTAGGGCATATCCTGTCTCCCAGTATGGCAGTAAATGTTTAGTTTGAAATTTACTTATTTAACATTAACTTGTTATCATGTCTGAAACTGCACATTCTGGATGTAACTGTGTTGTATCCAGTGGTGCAGTTATGCCTAGTTTTTTTAATGTAATGAATTAATCCACTGAGCAGTAACTAAGATGCTTAATGGGGTGTAAGGAGTGAAAAAACACGAAGAAACATTAGGACATTTTGATAGAAGCCTTTATCAACAAACACTACAAAAAAGTCTTGTCTGTTCATCAAATATTTTATGTTTGATGATGTAACTGTGTCTATGTACAGGAGAGGTGTCATATTTTGCACTTTTCAGCTGACATATCTGACTTTAGGCGTTTATTGATTGTGGTAGTGCTTCTTTGGTAGACATGACATGTTAAAGTTAACATTTAAAACATATGAGAGTAAGGCACATTATCCATCACAAGTGAATGAAATGAATATACTTCACGGATTAAGTTTTACCGGTACAACTCACGTTTGTGTCTGCAACAGCCCACTTCTCACCATCGTGTAAGATTTCCTGGACTTCCATTCTTGGGCTTTGACCTTTCCCATGAGCTGTTGTATCTTCTAGTGTTGTTCCATTTCTTCTTTCTGATCGACTAAGCATTCTGTGTTCCGCGTCATCAGAGGATGACAAGCAGAGCACTGTCACTTTTTGGCAGCAACACAGCATTTCTAAAGCTCACTCCTGCCCCTGCTGCCATTTTTCCACCAAGATTTTTGTTATTAGTTACCGTCTATGCTTCTTGGTTTTTACTTTGAAAATTATGGATAATATTTGGATCGGAGTCTTATTTATATATGAGAAAACTAGAATTAATAAATATCTTAGCCATAGAAATGTATGCAAATATACCCTAAAGATACTCTAGGAAACGTCACGGCTCATGAATGGAAGGCCATGTAATCTCGTGCGATGAGGAGAAGTGAGCTTTTGTGGATATAAATTTGAGCAGTACTGTTTTACGATCATCCTTACCTCCCCATGTTGGCTCCAGGGCTCCTTTTGAACAAAAAACAGATAAACCTACTGCCCCCCTAACAAGCATGTCATAAAAGGCAACAAATCTAGGGTTTGCTGAAATCGGATGTCTTAGGCCTAAAGGCACATTTATCATAGCTTAGCTGCAAACTACAACATAACACACCAACTGCCCTGTTAAGGGCGAATGCAGCATCAACATTATAATAATGTGCCCTGCCTATAAGAGAAGGCAGTCATGTTTCACTATTCCATAAGATAACCAGAATTATGGATCAGGTCAATGCTCTATTCTGAGGGTCGCCCCCCCCCCCATCTATGAAGCCAAGCTGTAAGGGTATCTGCCTTCCCTTTGCTCTTTTTCCCATCAACCATCAAGTTTTCGAGACTATTCCCTCTAATAACAAAAATATTGATAGTCTACAACTAATTTATCTATTCAGCTTAAGGTTTTTTATCCGTCTTAAAAAAGAATGCCTCACTTTTCCTTTCCAGCCCATTTCCTGATAACTATTTCACACCTAAATGACTTGGGAACTCAGGTCAATTTAAAAATTCTACCTTGATGGAGATTCAAACCCATGACCAACTGGTTGGCAAACAAGCAGGCAAACCACAACTGGAAATTCGAATGCTTATGGAAACGTCTAAGGACTATGACGTCAGTTCCTAATTCGACTAAACACACATTTGTGCATGTAAACATGAACTAACACAGAATAATGACGTTAACATTTATGGCACACAACTGTGTGCCTTAAATTTATCACTGGTATTTGATATACCTGGGATTCACCTGTTTTTATTTACTTTTTTGTGTCATAAGTAGAGGAGAAGGTAAAAGTGAAGGACCCTTTTCTACGCCTTTTCCTGTATTGGCTAGACCTATATTTTATAGACCAAACGGCACTTGGTGGATGATGTGTTCGGCATTACGCCTGCTGCCTTTACTTCCCAGGACCGTACCTGGTACCCACTCAAGGCTGGGTCGAGCTGGGAGCCAAGGTCAATTTTGAAAAAAGTCCTGCACCCGTCAGGAAGCGAACGCATGACCTCCCGATCGGCAGGTGAGCGTCTAGCCGCTAGACCACGGTGGCTTCATAGAGAAAAAGGTGTATAAGGAAAATATAATAAAATCGCAGATTCACACTTTGTGGGAACCATATACATCAACAATATGTTCAAAGTAAAATGTATATTTAAAAAAAAAAATTGCTGATCAAATAACAAACATCATACATTTTCTAACATAATGTTGCTCTTCGTTGACAATTTTATTACTGCCATGGGGTTGTATCATTCCCATAAAATCAATAGGTCTGACTGTACTAAGTCAAAATTAGTTGCAGGTACTTTGGCTCCAGGCTATGTATGATGCTTAAAAGCCTTTTTCCCAATCTCAACCAAAGTGTTATGTGTTTAACATGTTACATCTGAGCACAGCATGCTAACAAAATCTGGCCATTTTAATGTCCATTTCCATTGTGTATTATTTTAGTCTCTCTAAAACTCATCGCTTATAATTTTTAATAGTGAAGGACCCTCTTTTTTTTAAACCAGTGGCACATTAGGCATCTGATGCTAAACTCATTTCTGATACACCAATCTGCACTCTGTGGGTGATGTGTCATCACAGTGGCCACTTGAACTTTTACCAGGTTCCTACCTTAGGGTGGGTCGACCTGAAAGGAAAGATCACTTTTGGACAAAATCTGACTTTATGTGGATCTGAACCAAAAATCTTTGGATCAGAGACAATGATGCTCATAATGTTGTTAAATTTGATGCAGTGTGGTCTGCTATCACATTGCCTGCATATTAATTACAACTCAGTAAGTAAACAGTTATTAACTGCATTCAAAACCCTTCAGTTACAAATGCCAGCACAAGAACAAAAACTGATAAAACTGTTTTAAAATGCACAGAAAAAGAAAAAACATTAGTGAAACTAAAACAGACTCGTTTCTATGCCGAGGTGCATTCGGTATATGATGGCAGTTTCGTATTTTTACAAAGCAACCAACGCTCGGTGAATGATATGATCTGGCTTCCTTTACTTCCATTTGCCATTTTCCTAAAGATAGGTTCACCTGGCAGCTCATCATATTTAAAAACCCACTTAATATGCTCTGATTGGTATTTGAACCAATACCACTTGGCTGGCAGGCAGGCGTGTTGGCCAATGTACTACTATAGCTCCTCATTTCATTACATTATTTGTAAACAAAATATTGAGAACTAAGTTTTGAACCTATGACTACAGTGTCAACAGGTAAGCATAGTAGCCAGTTCACTACTACGCTTTCCTATTTAATAAAATGTATTGAAAATTAGCTAGAAATTATGCTATTTAAAAAAAGTACCATTTTCATTTCCCATTTCATAAAATATGACTGGAGATTGTTTCGCTCATGTAACAACATCATCATCATTTCTGCAGGTTGTTCACTATGTTATAATATCATCATCGTTACTGTCAAAATTAGGCACCCGCAAAGCATCATTGTCCACAGCTGGCAAATCCTCGGCTAGGCCCCAGTTGCTGTTAAAATCTGGCGAAGATAGACGAAAAGTCAGTTTAAAAGATGATTACCATCATTATGTGTCTCATCAACTAGCATGAACCTCTATGCTTCTCCAAATCTTGCCATCTACAACAAGATGTATCAATTCATGTGCTGATAAATTTCCACTCCATGACAAAAGGCGGTCAACATGTTCTCTAATTGTTTGATCTACCTCCCTTTCTACAAATTTTTCCAACTGCCACATCATATTTCAGTTTTTCACTTCTCATAATGTGGAGGTCTCTGTGGTGAAGTGACCAAGTCGTTTGACTGGCATATATGAAGGTTGTGGGTTCGTATTATAGCTTCAATGTTTGGTTCATGGGTGTCATTTTTACGGCGGCCCCTGGAGATTGTTGCTGGAGCTATGGTGTTCATACTTTATGATGTGACACTCTCGGCATGCTGCTAGCCATTTCGCTGAGACAAACCAAGCCATATGGGATAAACCTTAGTGCAATGAAGTCGATCCCTTTAATTTGGACTTTAATGTGGCCACAAATTGACGACTTTGCATTTCTGAAGTCTGCGATGAATTGTTTTATTAGCCTCTTTCAAAACAGGTACTTTGTTCATTTTTGGTCACTGTTACAGGGTGATGAGACAGTTCCCTTCTTTACCATCTTTCTTTCTGCCAGTCTGCAAGATCACATGCAGGATTACAAAGATGAATTCATAATCAGTGTACAAAGAAACAAATTACATTCCTACACACCAACATTTATTGAGAGGAGGAAGACTGAGCACAAATTGATGTTTTCCAAGTGCAATAACAATTTCAAAGAAAAGGACCCTTTTCCAGGCTATTGGTTCATCAAACATATGGTGCTGGTCAAAACTTTGTGATTCAAAACTGGAAATTATGGCATCAAAACCAACCTTGAAGAAATGAAAATTAACTGATACAACACATAAGAAAAAGCACAGAGAAGATCCAAACCCCCCCCCCCCCCCCCCCCCCCCCCCCCCCCCCCCTTTTTTTCCCTTTCCTCCCAAACACTTTAATGAACTGGGGTAACTGGAGAAAGACAAAATGAAGAAAAAAGAGGTACTCTAAACTCTATGTTCACTCTAACCACCAGACTGCTCCCTTCCTCAACAATTCACTATACGCAATGAGATCATTGCATTGCATTGCTATGAGAAGAAGAAAAAACTCGGACTTCTTCAATCTGCCTCGGAGGCTTGACTATAATTGAGTCCCTGTTTCTTTGCGGTTTTAGTTTCTTTCTTTTCTTGCGACGTGGGTTCACGTCTTGTTGTGGTTTCCTTAAATTTCTGCAACACTGGCTGTTTTGATACACAATGGGATCTTGGCAGCTTCAGCATATATTTTGCCAACGCTCTGCCTCTGATTCAAATTTTCTGGACCAAACACCCTTCTTCTCCTTCTTAGCGCTCTCGAGCTGTAAATGCCCGTGGAAACTTCTGGTTGTTCATCCATTTCTGGACTTTTGTCTTTTTCTCATGTAATCCATTTTACAGATTTGGCTTATCTGTACTGCATACTGTTAGTTCATTGTCCTTCAGGCAAAGGCACTCCATCTTCGAAGGAAACCCACAATTAGTCGCCTTCTGTGACATGCTTGCTAGAAGGTAGTGGGTCTAATCGTTTTCTCCGCCACAATGAGGCTCTGGAACCCACACAGGGAGGTCAAACACAATTATTGTTCATTAGGCTCCAATTTTCTGACATGGCTCTTTCTGAATTTGGCATTTTCCCAAGCTGAAAATGCCACTGGATGAGACTGGAGTCAAAGAAGACACTGTGCAGAACACATTAACCGAGCTGTGCTCTATTCTAAAAGAAACATTCCTGACATGATTTAAACAACAGTGGGACTGCTGGGAGAAGTGTTTGCAGTCCCAAGGAGATAACTCTGTAGCAGAGTAGGGTTACTGTTTTTAGGGTAACTGCCAGGAAACAAAAGTGCAAATAAACTTGCTAACAAAGGGACAGAATGTGAACAGGAAGAGAATGCAGTAACATACTTTGAGAAGAAAAGGGCCATCCAGTCTATCAAAAGTGAACAGAGTCTGGCCAGAGATGACTGCTACTTACTTGGCCAGCATACTTCATTATTGTGCCCGTGTGGGCTGTGTGTGCAGACTACAGAACATGTCCTGCAAGAATATCTTTTGTGCAGCCCATTAACCCTACCAAACCGCTGGCCCGATTTTCCGGGAATTTCTTAACCTTATGCTATACCGCTGGCCCTAATTTTCGGCTATTAGCGTACTGCGTGAAAAAGATGCGCCACAAACTAAAAATAACTAGCCAATCGTAATCAGACCTCGTGGATAGTCTTCCTAGATGTCCGTGCTCGTTGTTTTGATAAAATTTGTTGTTTTAAGTGAAACAATTCTGAAAATTCACACTAAAACGAGCGGCTGATGAACTAAACACTTCGACAGGAAAGTAAAGTAGGTCTAGGCTTTTCACAGTCCAACTGGTGATCGATACTTTGGTTTATTCAGACTCTGCGGAGTCATAATTTCATGACGAATACGTTCACAGTTGAAGTGACACATTCAGCTCGAATAATGAGGAGATTCTTGAAAATTATAAATCTAGAAATAGATCAGTAGTAAGAGAAGGGGGCGTGTCCCTCAAACAGCAACATCTGGTGCTCACTTTGTGAAACAATCTTGATCCTCCTGAGTGGATTGGCACACAAAGGTGGAATATTGTCGCTAGATAAAAGATAAGCCTATTTTCTACAATGTCTTCAAGTTTCATCTTATTCTAGCCACATAAAGTGAACAATAAAAAAAAAAGAAGGGTAACTGCATTTGTCTCAGCCACTTGCCCTTACTCACACAGGACTCCAGGTTACACATGGCTGGTGTGGTTGCTAAAGGGTGCTCTAATTATAACTTTTTACAAGATTCAATGGGGTATCTGGGCCTTGCTGGTCAGCCTTCCAGATTGCGATGATTTACCCTCAGGATGGAACAGTAAAGCTTTAGGTACCAGTCCGCAGAAGACAAACTGATCAATCGACTGATTCCCAGCCACAGGTGGGTTATTTTTTTAAAAAACATAGTACATATATCCCTAATATAATTTGAAAGAGTTAAACAAGTAACTGCCTTTTCTGGATCACAGGTTGGATGCTTTGAATATACTTCATACATCCATAGTGAAACAAAAGGGTTGAACAAGATATAATCTCTATACCCGGATGAAAAAAAAAAACTACTAACCTGGTTCATGGACAAAATTGGTATAATGTGATGTAACCATGGTGTTTCTGTTCTTCACTGGTGTGCTGGTGTCTGGTAAACTCATTGACCCATGCTCCTGAACAACGTGGGAGGACAGGTTTACCTCTTCAGGTCCAGGTTTTGTGTTTTCATCATCTGAAGGAGCAACTCTGTTTGATCGCAAGAAGTTGCGTTTTTTCTTCCGACGGGGATTTGACTTCTCTGTTGATGTGTATGTGTCACATGGTTATTACTTTCAGGTAAAGGTAAAGGTGACAGAATCGACTTTATTGCATTGGGCTTTATCCCACATGGATCAACCTCTCTCCACAAAGCAGCTAGCTGCCTGCCAAAAAATTTCACACACAGCACTGCCTCTGTAGCTCCAGCGAAGATCCTTAGGGATCTCCGTAAAAATTGCACTTGTGAACTGAACGGCTCCGCCGTGAAATGAACTCACGACCTTCATAGTGCGAGGCAAACGGCTTGACCACTTTATCACGGAGACCCCCTTACTTTCAGGTAGATAATTAGTGACATTTATGAGATTAAAGGCAACACAAATGAAGCAGTTTAACATGATTAAAGGCAACAAATATGAGTAGCTGAGAGGGTCCGGGGAATCAAATATCATAACAGAAACAAAATCTCAGGGAATCAGACATGAGAGATCCAAGGATTTCAAAGACTGGAGTAGCTGAGAGATCAAAAAGTATTAAGTACTACAGAAGCTGAGAGTTACCAGAATTAAAAAGACTAGAGTAACTGGAAGATCCCAGGAAATCAAATATCATAACAGAGTCAATATCTCAGGGAATCAATACAGAGTGGCTAAAAGATTCCATGATTTCCCCGACTAGAGTAGCTGAGAGATTCAAAGGATTCAAAGACTAAAGCAGCAGAAAGATTCAAAGACTAAAGCAGCAGAAATATTTGTCTTGATATGACAGCGTCTACTGCTGGTAGTCAGAAAATTTCCTCTATAAAGAGGAAGTGAATCTAGAATCACCAAATTGGCAGGAAAATTAACAAACCCTCAGGCCACCATAACATCTAATTTTATTCAAAGAAAAATTCAAACAACCTACCTTCTCCTCTTTCTGGTGAATGCAGTGAAGAACTTGCAGATTTGCCAAGCTCACTAACATCATCATTGTCATTTTTGTTTTTCTCACTCATCTGCCCTGTGAATCCACCATTTTCAACACCCCCCTGAGCTATCCTTTGATTAAAACTGCCAACACTTCTTGACATCTGCAGGTTACTCATTTCGATGCTGGAATCCCTCAAACTTTCAACATATGTCGGGCTCAGCGGAGAGCGCAGAGTTTCCTTCAGAAGACTATCAGATGCATAACTGTTATTTTCCTCATCACTCAGCAGGTTTGACAGTGAATTCTTCATCTTCTCTGTACCTCTTTCAGATTTTCTCAGCTTTTCCTTATTAGGCCTCTGAATATTTTCAGCTGATGTAGCACTACCTAATTCACTTGTTTTATCAACTATGTCTTCACCATTTTTGCCTGTATGCTTGCTGTTTTGATTATTTGTCTTCTGTGGCTGGTGTGAGTCAAAATCTACACTTTCTTGTGAAACTGCATCAAAGGTTGAATGCATGTCACTGCTCATTTTTCTTTTAGAAAATGTGTGCCCATCACCATTACTCATGTGTTTTAAACTTTCAAATTTAGGGCTTTTATAAAGATTATTTTCCTCTTCATTTTGATTAATTTTTCCAGCAGCAACAGTTTTCAATTTCTTTGGCTTGTCATTCATAGAAATCTGGCCATTAAAATGTGTTTGACTGCCAGATAAATCAACAGCACGAGAGGTCAATTCAGGAGCACTTTTTGATTCATTTACTTCGTTAGCCTGAGACTGTATATTATGAGGCTGAAGATGATAGGCTGTCAGTTTTTTCTTTTTTCTACGTTTGGTCTTAGAATTCTCAGGTAAGTTGCTCTCGCTGCGAAATTCAATTGGCTCCAAAGGAGGCAATGCAGATGCCCGAGGACTACGCCCAAAAACAGTGGACGCATCTACATCTTCTAGGTGAAGAGTACGGTCCCCTGACATCCCTAGGTTCACATTTTCACTTATATTCATGGTTTTTAAACTGTCCCTATTACTGTCCTTAACTTCTGCACTGTCACTGTGTTTGTTTCCTTTCTCTTTATTTGCCAAGTTATTAATTTTCTCTTGCTTTTGCAGTTTCTCTTCTTTCAGCTTGAGTTCCTAAGGAAATAGTAACAGAAGACAACTGTAGCAACAACATTTAAACTAAAATTTGTGCTATCTTCACAAATGAATTTGGCTGCAGTGGATGTGTGGTTTTATACATGAACGATGAGAACATTAAAATAATTTTTTTTTAAACTAATGAAAATGTCTTGAAAGAAACTGACTCGTGTAAAGAACCAACTGACCACATAAGAAGGAGATAATTACATTCTTTGGTCATGTCACGAAAAGAAGAAAACTGGAGTACATGGAGATGGAGGGAAAGAGGAGAAAAGAGGCAGGGCGAGATTGAGAGAGAAGATGCTAAAAGAAGTTGACACCATGGGATTAAAGATCATCTGTGTCAGAATTGACTGAAAGTACAGAAGGTTGACAGAAGGTTGTGGATAGAGATATTATTGCTGTCTTTGGGAGCCGTATGTAGCCCCAATCTCTTCTAAGGTGTGACTTGTGAACCTCTATGCCAGCAGTAAAAAAACCAAACACTGTTATGCTGAGGATTGTGAAACACATTAACTAACTTATAAATTACAGAGCCATTAGCAACAACAATACTGAATTTTAAATTAAAAACTCATGTGAGTTCAGGGTCCCATTCGGGGGGGGGGGGGGGGGGGTTAGGAGGGATTATTTCCATTGAAATACACAAATCACACTGTCTCCCTCAATACACTGTTTTATCGCTAGAAGATCAAGACAGTCAGGTAGTTTACCATGCAAAATTTAACTTTACCACAAACTCCTTCTGCTTGCACAAAGCGGGATTGGTTGTCAATGGCCTCAAGGGTCGACTGATCATTTATGTCTATTAACATCACATTCAAAACAAATGGTACCTTTTCTTTTAGTTTCTCAATATCCAGAGCCTTAAATGGATCACCTATAATTATATCTTCATCATCACTGTCTGGTTTTTTACTAATTCCAAGTTGGGTTCTCTCCATTTCCTCAGCTTTTTCTCTGTGAACAGAAACAGAATTAGGCCTGTCATTGCAACAACAAAGAAATAGCTTTGCATGATAATTACTGCATTGGAAGAAAAATAATTAACCTTCATAATTTATATTTAGTGTCAGTTTATGTGAACAACAGCTTTTTATAACTCTCCTGGGGACAAAGGAGAAAAGGACTGCAGACAGGTTAAAAGTTGAATGTATACAAAGAAGCATGTCAGAATGTGTGATAGCAATGATGGTTTTAAAATCTGGTGTAATTATTGTAGAAGATTTTTTTTTCTAACATGGGTTTTTTGCTACCCACACTCATAATTGCTACGGACTGTGATCCTGATACCTGTCTATAGCACAATATTACACTAATGCCTGGAAAAACGGAAAGGGCCAACACACTTAATATAACTCTCATGCTTTTTTATCTCTCAAATATTTCATATGTGCCCCAGCTAATGCAATCTATTACACAGTAATTAGTGGTTATTGAAAAAGATAATGAATTTCATTTTTGCTTCTCTCCATTTTATGCTTCTGCACCTTTCCTGGGTCACAAGAATATCCAAACAATTTGTTATAAGGCTTCATCTCTTTTAATTCTACTCTAGGTTCTAGAATGTCTGTGAGTATTCTGAAAAATGTGTGAATGTGGGCAAAATTCTCTTTGATGCAACTGGCTGCCAGAAACTTGCCCTGAGGATGGGAAATATAGTCCACTGGAGGCCAATTTTTTTCATCCGATTGTACCAGTTTCATTTTTGTGTGCACCATCAGAAGAACCATATGTATCATAATTCAGATTCTTTTTAGGACGACAACTATAAGATCCTTAAGATTTAAAAAAAAAAAAGAATATTCTGTTATATTTTTTCAGAACAAAAACATTTTAAAACCTGATCTGAATTACATCAATTTTGGCATTAAAAATGTTTTAACAGGATCAATTGGTGCACAGCAGTATTGGTGACAGCCTTAACACTTGCCTGGGACGCACAGAAGACAAAAAGGAGCCTTAACAGGACATACCTATATCACGATCTCACAATAGGAGATGATGGACAAATAACAAAGGACAAGAACTCAAAGACTCCACAGGATAACTCAGGATGGCTTTTACCATACAGGATTTAAGGAGAACAAACCAGTCATACATAACAGTCATAAGATGTACACCCAGGAAGATGGACAGGCAAAACAGAACACACCCCCTCACCCACTCACCAGGACCGCAGGAACAGAATAGACTCAGATACACTCAGACAAAACAACACTACCCACAGTGAGGGACACTAACCCACAACCATTGGCACAATAAAACAAAAAACCATTTTGGCCATTAAGCTTGGCACACATTCAACCAAACCATAATTATAACCAAAGCTATCTTTAGCAGGGTTGAAGGTCGTCAACTTATTATCTTTTTGTTAAAGAACCAACCAACCAACGCAATGAAGCAGTCTGTGAAAAGAAAAACACAACCTTCAGAGACCCTCCAAATCATGAGGAAAAACTACGTTAACCACTGAAAAAATATCAAACCAAATGAAAAGTATAACTACTCAGCTTCACATTACCACAATCACAAACCACCAGTGAACACTGCGACTATAGAATTTTCATCAGCACATGACAGGAATAGACAATGTTACATTTACAAACAAAAATACAAATAACTATTGAGCTTCAGATATTTTAATACACAGTCAAATAAGTGGGGAAAATGTACACTAATCTGGTACTACAAACCCCTTACCTCTCTTCACGTTGCATTTTAACTCGAGCCTTTCTTTCTTCTCTCTCCTTCTCTCTTGCCTCTTTTGCAGCTTTCATATCAGCTTCAATCCTTGGCTCCAAGGCACTTAAAGACTCCTGTATTTTATCAAACAACCAGTCAACTCCTCTTTGGATCTCTCTATCCATTTTAGTACCAACACCCTTCAGGGCAGAAGCCATTACCTATGAAGACACGAAGATAAAATGTTCAACTCAGCACTAAGCAATTCATCATCATCATCATCATCATCAATAACATCATCAAAATCCTGTGGTGACATTTAAACGTCACCTAATCTCATAGTCTAGTCCTCCAAGGGTTCTCTGTGGTGAAGTGATCAAGCCTTACGCGCTAAAGGTTGTGGGCTCATTTCATGCCTGTTTATGAGTGCAATTTTTATGGAGATCCCTAGGGATCATCACCAAAGTTATAGAGTTTGTGCTTCATGTGAGGCTCTAGGCAGGTGGCTAGCGATTGCCATTCTATGCACAGAGACTGTATGTATGGAATAAAACCCACTGCAATGCAGTCAATCCTCTCGACTTTAATGGTAAGTGTAGTTTATAACTCCAGATCAGCAGGCAAACATTTTACCCTAGATCTACACTGAAGCACATACATCTGTTATTTTCTTTTTCCTATGCATTCACCCCTAAAAGGGTGGTTGGCTGTCATAAAAGGGTGGTTGGCTGTCATAAAAGGGTGGTTGGCTGTCATAAAAGGGTGGTTGGCTGTCATAAAAGAGTAGTTGGCTGTCATAAAAGGGTGGTTGGCTGTCATAAAAGGGTGGTTGGCTGTCATATCTGCACCTTGCGACTCAACTCATATGAATTCAGCAAACTTCTAATTAGTCACCTTTTACAACATGCTTCTTAGGGAGGAGTGTTTCAATCGGCACTTGGTGGGTAATGCGGTGACCACCACGCCACGGCCACCTTTATTTCTCAGGACTCCATCTGGCACTTACCCATTCAAGGCAGGGTCAAACTGGGAGCCAAGGTCATTTAAAAAAAAAAAAAAAAAATACCGCCAGGTACCTTCAGGCCCTGAACCTTTCAATCCGAGGCGATGAGTGATGCAATCAAAATCATGCCAGCCACCTTTACTTCCCATGACATTACCTGCTATCTATTTTAGGCTGGGTAGACCTGGGAGCCATGGTAATTTTTGGGGGGAATTATCCTTGATTTGAACCCTAAACCTTCGGACCAACAGGCAAGTCTCTGGACACTATGCAACTGCAGCTTTCTGGTTATCATAATCATGCATCATTCCTTTGCAGAAATTTGCTCTCATCATGATGTGCCTGAGAGAAACTCCTCTCACCAGCTCTTCCCCTTGTGTACTTTCATACACAAGGAGTCATAATCTGTGCCCATCTCTGTGCTGGTCGACCTCTGCCCCTCCTTCCTGGCACCGTGCTTTTTGCTATCATTTTTTCCCCATCTACTGTGGTGCTTCTGATAGTATGCAGTTATTAAATGGAAATGGGTGACATTTATTGTCATACATGGTGTATCCTTCTTATTGAAAGAAAAAACATTTTACTGACCTGAGATGTTTCTCAACTAGTCTTCTTATTATTGATGTTTCACATTTGTATAATTGTAAATGCATAAAACATATACAACAGTAAATACAGAAAACATATGAAACAATATATATATATATAAAACATACACAACAGTAAATACATAAAACAAATACAACAGTAAATACATAAAACATATACAATAGTAAACACATAAAACTTAAACAACAGTAAATCTAGGGATGCTAGTGAAGTTTTTTATTTTGGGTTTTCACTTACGAAATCATGACACCTAGATAAAGATTAAAATTACAAATCCAATGGTACCTTATTGAAGCCTGTAAGTCGATTCTAAGCGGAGATATTAACATTTTAGTGGCGGATACCACCACAGAAAAATTATAGTGGAAATGCACAAAACAAGGATTCCCGGCTGCGACCCAGTAAGATGAAATGACTCCATGTTTGCATTTTATGGTCATAACTTTTTTGTTTCTGAACGAATCCCTTAACAACCATATATTGCTGTAATCGGGACTGTGAGACCTAACTGTTTATGCATGTCTCAAATACATACACTACAATTTGCGTCTATTTAACATATGACAATGTCCGCAGGCTGATTATTTTTCATCAAAAGCCCTATACATTTACAGTTGTCTGCCAACAAGCCTGGCTTTATACATATCATATTGTGTGTCCTGGCAAGGCGAACATAAAGATCATATAAATGTGCCAATGTGAGTTGACGTGACCTAATTAACAAATACTGGACTCTCCCCCCCTGCCCCCCTCCCTTGTAACTAATATTTAATTGGTTTTTATGATGTTTATATTATGCAGCCTGTAAGACTTACATCATTTTTGGAACAGGCTTATTATTATACTCTTTAAACGTTCAAGTAATGTCAATATAAATTAGAGCACATTCCAGCATTTGTAATTAAGACTTAGATATTGTAATTTTTTTTTTCTTCTCTTTTTGTTTTTTTTTTTTTTGTTTTTTTTGTTCTTTTGTTTCTTTTCTATATTTCTCAAATTTTTAATTGTGCATTCCTCTTTTTATTGTTATTATTGTTATTATTATTATTATTATTAACTATGAAATGAGGTAAAAATGAAGCATTGTATGAAAGGAGCAGAGTGGAAGGGCAGAATGTTAGACGGGCCTGCGTGCCCAATTCTTAACCCTTTGAAAATAAAGTTTGTTCGTTCGTTCGTTCCTACAGTGATGATACCGGGGTGGCCGCACCCCCTTCCTGCTACCTTCTTTCCCTGGTATCTCTCCTCTTCTTTCTTTCTTTTTCCTTTCCTTTCTTTTTCCCCATGTCTCAATGCCGACTTTCTTTTCTTAGTCTCTTTGTTTTCTTCCTCTTTCCTCCTCCTGCTTTCCCTCTTTCTCAAATTTCTCTCAATCTTCTACTCCCCCTCCCCCAACTCTCCGTTCTGTATGGTAGAAGAAAACATGAGCCCACTGGTAGTACACGGCCTGTTTTCATAATGGGTCAGTGACATTGTCAACAACAGGGTGGTTGCACCCCCTTCCTGCTACCTTCTTACCCTGGTATCTCTCCTCTTCTTTCTTTCTTTTTCCTTTCCTTTCTTTTTCCCCATGTCTCAGTGCAGACTTTCTTTTCTTAGTCTCTTTTTTTTCTTCCTCTTTCCTCCTCCTGCTTTCCCTCTTTCTCAAATTTCTCTCAATCTTCTACTCCCCCTCCCCCAACTCTCCGTTCTGTATGGTAGAAGAAAACATGAGCCCACTGGTAGTACACGGCCTGTTTTCATAATGGGTCAGTGACAGTGTTAACAACAGGGCAAACACAAAAGGTGTGTTCATTTCTGGGAATCAGGTCAGGCCGGATTTTCTTTTCTTCCAAAAATGATCTTGGCTCCCATGTCCACCCAGCATTGAATGTAAGAAATGGATCTATAGCAGCCACACGCGGACAGCCAAGCATGGGAGGGTTGCCAATGGGATTTTTGTCAAACCCGAAGCTAAGCTGACCAAAAACCCAAGCAATATATAAGAAACAACAACAAAAGAAACCCAAAATTGATAAATAGTACATATTTTGTATATATTTTATAGTTACTAAATGAAACATTTACCCACTTTTGTATAAGGATATGTATATTTTTTTAAAAACAAAAGATTCCAAAATCTTAACCCAAGGTGTCGTATAAAAACCCAGTTCTTGGGTGAAAGCCCAAGTACTGGCACTCCTGATGGACGGGAACGCAGTCAGTGCTGCTGTTATTTCATGACCACTTAGATTTACCAATTCCGACATAAAATTCAGTGGATTCTAAATAATAACAGACGCATAAAAAAATGCTACAAGAGTTGTAGATGTTTAAAAAGTAGCTCACTTAACATTATTAATTTACTAAGTATCTAAAGTTAATTACTAAAGAATCATCTTAGAAAATGCACAATGATGGCCAAAATTAATTATTGGGATTTGGGGGTGATCAGGAAAAATTATCTCCAACAGAAAATACGCAGAGCTCTAAATAATGACAGATGCATAAAAAAATGCTGTAATGGTTGTTAATTTAAAAAAAAAATCAAAATAATGTTAGCTAATTTAATAATTATTTTAAGTTAATTATAAAGCAGGAAAAACGGTCTCCTAGTGCACACATATTGGATTTAAAGCAAAAACAGTGATGCCACTAAAAAAACATTTTTAACATTTGCGCTAAGGCCAATCTTTGTGAAATTTCCCATACTTATTTAAAAATTAACGCAGAATTAAAAAATACACCACAAATTGTAGTAGTCTGGCTAATTAAGAAGATATTTGCAAAACTACTTACCGTTATTGGATTTAAAGCGAAAACAGTGATGCCACTAAAAATTTTTTTTAAACATTTGCGCTCAGCCAATCTCTGTGAAATTTCCCATACTTATATAAACATTAACCCAGAATTCAAAAATACACCACAAATTGCGGTAATCTAGCTAATTAAGAAGATATTAACGAAATTACTTACGGTTAATTCACCACATGCTGCCCAAAAAATTGATTTATTGTATACGCGTCAAAACCATCTCAGGTCAAAGCCTAGCATCTCTCCAATAACTCCTAATAATTGTTCCGATTTGATCTTTCACGTAAAAAGCATGGAAAAATAATTTCCCAATAACTGTCAATTCGGGTTGCTTTTTTGGGACGCGGTCGCGTCTCTAGTTACGGATGAAAATGTATATCAAAATAAAGGAAACAAAACAACCCATTGCTATACCTAGTAAATCCATAAAACATAAACAACAGTAAACACATAAAATAGCAAATACATAAAACATATACAATAGTAAATAGCTAAAACATATAAAAAATAAAGGACCCTCTTCCCCGCCTTTCAGGCAAATTGGGTATATAGGGCCAAGTGATCTGATTGTTGATAGTTTGGTGTTGAGAGGAAAGAGAAGTGTCTGTGGGTTCGTAGTGAAAGCCAATGGCAAATCTTTAGTGCAAGACAGCCTAGCATATGACATCACAACATCTAGCATGAGAATGGAGGTGGAGGCAGTAACTGCAGCTCTCCGGTGGCTAGAGAACAAGATGCATACACATGTCGTAATTGTAACAGACTCTGAAGGCATGCTGAGAAAGGTGAAGACAGGGATGCTTCAAGCAGAGTGGCAAGCTTCACTGGCATACTTTGGAACTTTTCTCCAGGCCATGCCAGCATAGTGGATAATGAACAGGCAGAGAGATTGGCTGGATCTGCACCACTGTTTGGTAAATTGATATATGACAAGGCAGATGTGGTCAAGGCCCTTTGGGAACAAGCATTGAAATTGGTAGAGAAAACAAGATTATTATGGCCTAGAGAGAATGAGGCACCTGGGTGTAACCAGAGGGTATGGCCGGCTCACTACACTCAGAGAAAAGACAAAACGGACATTTAACCAGATGGTGACTGGTACTATCAGTATTGGAACTCTGCGCTGGCTGCTGAAAATGGGGACTGAGCACGCATGGGAATGCCCCGAGTGCTGTGATGTCAATTCTTTACTCAACTCAACTGGTTATGTAGGGCTAGACCTGTATTTTATAGACCAACGGCACAAAATGGGTGATGTGGTCAGCATCACGCTGGCCACCTTTACTTCCCAGGACTCAAGGCTGGGTCGTCCTGGGAGCCAAGGTAATTTTTTAAAAAGGTCTGGCTAAGCCAGGGACCTTCCGATCCGTCGGCGAGCGTCTAGCTGCTACACCACGCCGACTGCCACATTAAACATATACAATAGTAAATATATAAAACATATTTAACAGTAAATACATAAAACATATACAAGAGTAAATACACAAAACAAATACAACAGTAAATACATAAAACACACATAATAGTAAATACATAAAACACACATAACAGTAAATACATAAAACACACATAACAGCAAATACATAAACACACATAAAAAAGCAAAGGACTTTTTTCCAAGCCTTTAGGCGTATTGGGCTAGACCTGTATAGACTATTGGCAATTTGTTGGTGATGTGGTCAGCATCACGCCGACTGCCTTCACTTCCCAGGCAAAAACACATACACAATAGTAAATACATAAAACATATACAACAATAAATACATAAAGCATATATAATTGCAAATATATGAACACCTTTAAGAGTAAATACATAAAACATATACGTCAATAAAACATGTACACCAGTAAATACATAAAACATACACAACAGTAAATACAGAAAACATATCTCAGGCTCACCAGTTTTGAAGGACAACTTGTGACAATTATTGTGTTCTTTAGATTGAGGCCACTGACAATATCAGCTTCCTTCATGTGCTCCTCTTTGTCAACTTTGTTTGCTACTCTGTCAAATATAAACTTGTTTATATTACAAAAATATGTTATTTTGAGAGATGACAAAATATTAACATTTGGAGAGATAAATAATACATTAATAATTTTGGATGCAAGCTGTATAATAGACATGGTTTATAAAAACACCTTTTTCTTGGGGGTGTACAGTTGGTCATGTGTCCTACTACACTTGTTTCTGCAGCAAGGCACTATGGTGACACATCTGATTCCTGGCATGGTAACTTATGTTTGTGAATTTTATTTTTAAAAGTGTTTTCCTACCTTTTTTACTTTTTTCTATGAGTGCCAATCAACAGGTGACTGTTTGTTTATTATATATACTTCTTCAGCATGCAGAGCCTTTGATGTTTATCTCTGTGAATGATCTTCTCTTTCCAGCTGGTGACCCTCCGTGTTTGAGATCTGCCAGTATATTATCTCTTCACAGTCTTCTGTGTGTGCAGTTTTTGTCTCTCTGTTTTCTGACTTCTCTCACTAAAAATTAAATCTTTAAAATGCTACACACATATATATATACACACACACATGCACGCACATGCGTATGTGCCCATGCAAGCACACACACACACACGCTCTCTCTCTCTGAACATGACTAGTAGTCAGGCCTACATGTTCTCTCTTAAAGCTGAATGTGGCATGGCATATACCAAAATGGAGATCCCATATTGTGCCAGCGGCTTTAGACGGAGAACTGAGTGCATTTGAGAGGATAGTAGTTAATCCTAGTAATTAGTCCTTAATTGGCAACTGGTCTGGAGGGTAGCTCTGACAGGCAAACAGATAGAGAACTGCGACTCTATTAGATTATACAGTATGCTTTGTTTCAAACTGACAGGTGTCATCTTTCCTGAGGAGTAACTAAGGCAAAAGAAGAAAGATTCTGCTGCATGAGCAACACACTGTCTCTATAATACTGCCCACATTTTGAGTTGTGGAAAGGAGGAACTTCATCCATAGTTTTAATCGGTCTTGAAAACAAATCAAGAGGTAGCAGTTAAGGGGTACAAGACCTTATCAACTGGCATAGACTAGGGTGCCACGGGCTGCATCTGGCAGTGAGAGACATGTTCTAATGTCACGGATGAGCTACAGCCCGCTTTAGAGTAGGCAGCCATTAGCTATAAAGATGTTGGCAGGTCTTGCTAGTCACACTCACCACCACCATGGGCTGAGACTCCCATGCTTCCAATCAGCACAATAAAAACACTATCGGAAAGGTGCCAAAAACAACAGCACAGAAATCTAGCCAATGAATAAGCAATTAGAAAGCAAAACTGAGGCCCTGAAGATGTGAGTATACAGGAGAATGTGTTGTTTACCATGGAAACAAAAACAATTAAATACAGGTGTTAGACACACTTATAAAATTTTAAAAAAAATTGACAACTGAAATGCTTAGGGCACACTAAAAGACAAGACAAGACACTCTTATGAAACACTGAAGGCAGGCAGGCAAAAAAAGCAGCAGCGATACAAGTGGGCAGGAAAAAATCTGAAAGAGGCAAGCAAGAGATAGACATCAATGGATGGCTGAACAGCAGTCTGTCAGAGTGTATACCCAGGGCTAGAGACGGAGAGTGGAGATGGCACCTAACTGACTAAATATTATCTTCTGATTAAAGGGGGGGGGGGTTTATAGACATACCACAAGCATTCATAAACATTTCTGATTAAAGGTTTGATGAAATCGGAAGTGTCAAAGTTCACAGATATTGCAGCCTAACTGTAATCCACAATACAATGTGCTAACTGCCTTTTTAAAGGTAAAGGCGAAAAAAGGACAAGAAGCCATTTTATGAAACAATATTTTACTCACATTAGTACAGGCTTGCCAGACACCTGTGGATGTTTTAAAGTATCCATGAACATATCACTTGCTTCCGAAAGGCGAGATGGGGTGCTGGAATCTATGACGTATATCAAAGCAAACACTTCTCCAAAATACGTCTTCCAGATGGGACGTATGCCTTCTCCCCCACCCAGATCAAATGCTGTGACATCGAAATGGGAGTGAGAAAATCTGACATTTCGAAAGCCAACTGTTGGCGCAGGGTCTGGGTCCAGTGGTTCTGTTTGACCAACAACAACAAAATAATAATAATTATCTTCTGTTTGACCAACAACAACAAAATAATAATAATTATCTTCTGTTTGACCAACAACAACAAAATAATAATAATTATCTTCTGTTTGACCAACAACAACAAAATAATAATAATTATCTTCTGTTTGACCAACAACAACAAAATTATAATAATTATCTTCTGTTTGACCAACAACAACAAAATAATAATAATTATCTTCTGTTTGACCAACAACAACAAAATAATAATAATTATCATTGACAGAAAATAGGGAGGGAAATAATTGTTATTTTCAACAGATTCAGAATTAGTCCCATGAGCCTGTTTACATACAAATTTGCACTGTCACGAAACCACCCTAGTGATTTCAGAATTTCATATGTTTATTAATAATTTCTTTGTTCAATAAAGAGACTAAGAATTTTTTTTAGCATCCATTAAGCCCAAATTCTTAAACTGTTGCCAGGTCCCAGACCAGACAAAGAAACTTGCCCTGGTTCAGAAAGTTCCGGTTGTTTGAACACTTCTGGACTGGAGTCATGTTCCAGAACCTGAGTGTTGCATGTACATTTGTTTTACAGATCTGACTCATTTGTATGCAGACTGTTGGTTCCTTGCCTCTCAGGAAGATGCACTCCGACTTCAAAGTACACTTCCAATTAGTCGACTCTTACAATATGCTTTTGAGTAGGCAGTTGGTCTATTCTTGTTTTCCCTACAATAGGGCCCGGAACCTACATGAGGACCCTGGTTGTGTAACACCTTATAAGACTACTAAGCCAGTCCACCTGGTTTTTCCCACCTGTTATGGACACAGGTAAAGCCAGTCCCCTAGGGAAAACAGGAGGTATCACAATTCTTACATAAACAGGACACTTATGCCCTTCTGAAACTACTAATCTGGGCAAATAAGCCTGGCAGGCTAGAAAGTCGAGATGTTATGTCTCCACACTTAGCTGATTTTTCATACCTGTTATAGACACAGGTAAAGCCAGTCCACCAGGGAAAACAGGAGGTATGACAATTCTTACATAAACAGGACAGTTTTGCCCTTCTGAAACAACTAATCAGGGCAAATAAGACTGGCAGGCTAGAAAGTCTCCACAAATGGGTGGCTTTTCACACCTGTTATGGACACGGGTAAAGCCAGACGGGCCCCACTTAAGAAAGTTTGATCAGAAGTAACTGACAGCTACAAAGAATGCGGAATGTAGGTGCCTAAACTGATTTAAGCTTCTCCTGAATGGAAGGGTGTGTTACAAAAAGTGGGGCCTAATCTCTGCTAAGATAAGGGAAAATATTAATATAGTGAGGGATTTTGAATTTCAATTCAGACTGCAGCCAGCATGCCACCAATTAAGATTTACACTCAAAAGACATCTTAGATGTATCTATACTCTTGGTGGCTTATCTACAATATCATCGATGATATTTCAGACAGATATAATATAGAGCAGTCACAGGAATGCAGCTGAAACATTTGTCCCATTCTTCTTTTTCAGCATTCCGAGCTCTTGAGGTTTACTGCTGCAGATATCACCAACCTCCATTCATCTCTGTGACTGGCCCTCTCTTTCTTGGCGGTCACTCCCAGTGTTTGAAAGTCTGCCTGGATATCATCTCACCATCATAATCTTGGTATACTCCCATTCAACTCCCATGTGTACATAATTTTTTGCTTCTCTGTCATTTGCCATTCTCTCTAAATACCACAGCCTTTTCAGTCTAGTAGCCCTCATGACGCTTGAGATACATGGTGATTTAATCAGATTATGAATTTAATTGTTGCTTTTAATGCTCCATTTACCGCTATTTGCATCTTTGATGTAAGCTGCCAAGAGTTATGAGTTATCATTTGGGTTATTCTCAAAGCCCTCTAGACATAACCATAGGTGATCAGATTCCTGTTTAATCCTTTAGCCCCGAAAAGCCACGAACTTGGCACTTTTAGTAGTGTCCAATTCTGTGTAAATGATGCTTAACCGGCACTGCTAAAGTGGCTTATTCCATAAAAGCCTAGTTAACTGTATTGGCATAATCTGTGCCTGCGCAAACATTAAGGAAGACCAGAAATTATTATATTTATTTAAAATAGTACTTAGAAGGGTTTCCTCATTTTAAAAAAAAAAAGGCTTTTTAACCAAAAATTATGACATCCTAATTTTCCTTTTGTCTTAACTACTCTTCAGCAACTAGATTATGGGATCAAGTATAAATCACTATAAATTTTGTTTATTGTCACAGAGATGTAAGCCAGTTAGTTAGTTAGCTAATCAACATATTATCCTCGCTGCACATCGGACGGGTCCACAAGCGCTCGGATCCCATCTTCAGTATATCCCTCAGAGTGTGGCAACTGAAAAACCCCAGTTCTGTGTTGGTTTACTATTCTTCTTTGGCTACCTTTATAGTGTTCATGTTTGGCGACACCTCTTTTGACCTGAAGTTCTTGTAGCCTTTTGAGTATTGCAGATTCAACGTCGTCTCTTGAATCACCTTTTCGTCCTGCCTACTTGAGAACACTGAGAATGTCGGCCTGGTCCATTGCTTTTCCTGTACCTACCGTGGCCCTGCCAGCAAGCCAATCCGCTCGTTCAATACCTCCTACCCTACAGTGTCTTGGCACAAAAATTAAAACTAATTCCTATCAGACGAGATTTCCTCAGTGACTCTAAGCATTTTCTTTAAATCCATCCTGTCTCTATCTTCTTAAGCATGCTCATGGAATCACTTAAAAAGTGTCATGGGGAAATGCTGTGTCTCCAGCCACAACATTGCTTTTTGTTATTGCCATAACCTCCACAGTCAGACTACTTGTAGTCGAGGCAAAAGTCAGTTATTTCTCTCCTACCTTTGTGTTTAATAATTACTCCCCTTCTTACTCATGGATTTAAAAAAAAAATTTTATGTTTATAAATTTAATTTTTGTTCACTGGCATCTATGTAAACATTTTGTTTTTCTTTAAAGACTGTATGTGTGTGTTTTTGTACCCTCAAAATATGGGATCTCGGCATTGTTTTTTAGGGTTTCTGTTGCAAATGATAATTATAACCTAAATCTGGGCTAACGGTGCTGGCTGACAAAACCTTTCATACGCCCAGTGTTCCTCTTATGACTGGCTACGTTGATCTTTACTTCCAAATCTCTCATTCTCAGCAGGGATGTGGATAAACTACCAAAAGTCCTCCAATCATCATCTCTCATGCAGATTTTTATAACAGACCTAGGTCTCCAGGTTGATTCAGTCTAAAATGAGTAACAGGAAAAGTCATGGAAAGTAAAGTTCACTAGTTTAATTTTGGCCACATCACCTGACATATGCTCATTATTCTATAAAATAATACAGGTCTATCATAAGATGCCTGATGCGCCTATGGCATGTAAATGGATCTTTGACGAACTAAAGGAGAAAATAAAACTACAATGACAAACCTCCAGTGAGAACATGGCACAGAGTTGTCTTTCCCGCATTGTCCAAGCCAACTATAGCCAGCGTTATTGCCCTGTGGACAAAACAGAAAAATAAAAGTAATTATTTATCAACTTCCTACTTAACTAGCACATCAAACCCGAAAAACAAACACCAGAAGAAGTTGGATGTGTTGTCAGAACAGCGCAAATATCACAAAACAGGCACACACATTTACATCAATTGGATGAATGATGAAGAAGAGGCTACTCCTCCAGATCTTAAAAATCAAAATCAACGTATAATTCCACTTGTCCATCCATTCCTTGAATTAAATCTGTCAAAGATCTATTCTCGCTTCTTTCCCCTATAATTTTTCCGATTTATCCATGTGAATATTATATGTTCCAGTTCTTCCCTTCACCCAGTGAGGCCAAAACATGTTGACTACTTTTCCAGGTTTGTGGTAAGTTGTTTGTGTGTCTTTGCATCCCTGTGTGGGTTCTGGGGGTTCCAATGTGGGAAAAACAAGAAATGACTCTCAGTCTCACTCACCAACAAGCATTGTGGTAAGAGTCGACTAACTGGGATTATCCTTTGAAGTCAGACTGCATCTGCCTGGGTCGCATGGAACCAACAATCTGCATCAGATCTGTAAAAAGGATGTGCATGCAACACTCAGGTTCTGAAACAAGACTGGTCCAGTGACTGACGAACAACCAGAACTTTCCGCACGAGTTTACAGCTGGCGAATGCGAAGAAGAAGTGTCTTTTCCTGCTTTAGATGATACATACTGGTTGTCCAGCATGATGTGTTTCAACACTGTTTTAGTGAACAATATTTCTACGGACAGAAATATTCTAATTTTGCTTACTAACTGCCAGAAGTGACCATGCTGGAACAAAATACTTACTTATTTGGTTGTTTTCTCCTTTTTACTGCAGAGATGCAGTTTCCCATTCCACTGGCAGCTGAAAGACAACAAGATATTCTATTATTTATTTTGTGAAAACTCATTTAAACTTAGCGACAGAGAATACTCCAAGAAAGGACTTTACTTTTTCTTTGAGTCTTGGAGATTTTAAAAACTTAAAGATATGCCACCGAATCACACAAGCTAACCACCAACAACTGAAAACAACTTCAAAAAATGTTTTCTCATTTTGAATTTCAAAAATGAGAACACAAACAATATATTACACAATCCAGGGACTAAAACATTATACCGTATCTTGTCAGGTTAACAAATGCTGGAGATAAATGATGAAATAAAATGGGATGAATTCAAGAGAAGTAAAGAAATAAGAGAAATGTCTGGGTAACCACTGGTATCAGGGGTTATAAGACAGAGAAGATAGTGCTATACTAGACACATTATGAGAAGAGACAGAGAATCAGCAAACAGGCAATGAAATGGGAAATAAAGGGATTGTGGAAATGAGGACATCTAAGCGAAACCTTGAGGTGAATGCTGATGACAGAAGCAAAAGGTGCTGGACTGGAATCTGTCCATGATAACAGAGTTGACTGCAAAGACGGGCCCTATGTGACAAATAGTGGCGAAACAGGACCATATATCTTGTCAGCTGCATGATACAACAGTGAAACAATTATATGATTTGTATAATTTGATTAAAAGGATTTCAAATTGTTTTTTCATTGTTTCACTATATGCTGATGTAATTTATGTAATAAGCATTTAATGAGATACAGCAAAATATGCTGGGCCAAAAAAATATACTGCTTGTGTCTTCACTGTTGAAAACAATTCAGTCAAGTTTTACCAGACAAAGTGAAGAATTTGGCTCACAGTAGCAGCCCATTAGATTCAAACTGGGGGGAGCAATGAAGATTTAAAGAGCACTATTCTGACAGATATCCATCTCGGAACAGACATAGTAAATGTTGACTGTTGTAGAGGTAACAGACATAGTTAATGACTGTTGTAGAGGTCCTACTATACAAGGTCCTACAATTAAGTAATGAGACTGATTTTATTACGGCCAAGACAAATATGCCATCTATGAAGTAAAGCATTGAATCCAAAGAGACAATCTTCATCTATGACCTAGCAACTTTGCATCGATGCCTGATAAGCAGACGACAAACAAGCCGTCATTTTATTGACCTAGTTAGATGTGCATCGTTACGAAATCAGCATGGAGCAAAAAGCATAACATTAAATTCTGTTTAAAACTCAATGAAACAGTTCAACTGATGGCACAAGTTTATGTGGATAATTTCTTATCTACTGCACAGATTTTCAGGTGGTGTAGAAATGATTACTAATGCAACTAGACCTGGATGCCCAATTTCTGTTTGTAATGATAAAACCCTTCACTTAATTTTAGGGCAAGATTTTGGCCGGAAAAAAAAAGGTTGCAGGTTTGTACTGCATTCGTTATCTGATTACCAAAAACATCAGCGGGTTGAGTACCCACAAGACATCATCAAAACAGGAATTTTTGGCCCCAAAACAAGTGTATGCTCTCAACCATTCACCCTATTCCCCAGATTTGTCTCCCTGTGATTATTTTCTATTCTCAAAATTAAAGTTACCATTGAAAGAACGCCTCTTTGATAAAATTGATGGCATCCAAAGGGCCGTAACATCGACTTTAAATGTCATAGCAACAATAGAACTACAGAGGTCATTCCAGCATTTGTTAGATTGTGCTACTCACTGTATCAATGCACAAGCGGCTTACTTTGAATAAAATTCAGGTTATATCTTCAACTGTTAATTTTTTAAATTTTTACCAAATTAGTCTCATTACTTAAATGTCGGACCTTGTATGTTACTATCTTCACCAATGGATAATGACCCTGGATCCAGTTTGATATCCATGATTTCACTGCTCAAGCTACTGTTAAGTGCTTGGTGCAGCACTGTAAGTTGTGTATTTTGTGTGGAATGCCTTTCATCTGTGTATGTGGTGATTTGTGTCAGAATATTCAGAAAATGGCTAGTGGTCAGCTTGTGTCTGGTCCGGCTAAGCAACTTATGCATTAGTTTTGCATGTATATGGCCAACTCCTCATATATGACTACTCCTGTCAATGAAAAATTGCAAAGCTGGTGTGGTTAAAGCCTCTAGTGAATTCCTTAGGCATTTATGATTTCCTGGGACAGGAAAAAGTTAAATTCCTGAACAATAAATAGAAGTAAAAGGTGTTGAAAGACAAGAGGACTAGCTTCACTGCGTCAAGTTTAATCCAATATGGCTTGATCTCTTGAAGCAAAATAGCGTGTCTCCTGCCAAAAGCATTGTATACAGAATGAACTGAGTAGCTTCAGCAATGACCCTAGACGATTTTTAAAACATCTGCATGTTAAATCAAATGATGAGGTCTAAAATCAAACCAAAACCTTTTATAGCATGAACCGAACAGCCTACAACTTCACTGTGAAGGCCATCTCTCACTTCCGTTTTCAAAATGGCATATCGCAGCAGGTTTTTTTCCCTCAGTGATTGTAATTTTTCTTGGATTGTTTTGTTTCCTTATCATGGACTGCTATTTTGTGCGCATTTCCAATGTAGGATACTATGTGTTTTTCATGGGAGTAGTGTGTATTGTGGTTGTTTTATGTCAGGATGGGATAATGACCGATAATTTTGGCAGCCCTGACCACGCTGCCTTCGCAATGTTTTGATCATGGAGGCCTATTCGGGAAGACAGAATCTCATCAGCTGGGGATGGCAACTGTCTAGAGAGCAAATTTGATAAAAGCTGTCCCCAGAAACGGAATGTGTCAACCATTTTACTGGTGGGGAGAAATCGACACATACGGTTAACTCTATGGCCATGCGCAAATATTTATATTCAACTGTGGTACTTCCACGTTGGGTAACAATAAAGTGAAAATGGGACTTGCTCTCACATCTCAAACAGGTTTTCCCCTAGTCACTTAACTGACAACTAAGCTTTAGGGAAATCTAAGAGACCTTGAGATGACATCCTAGTTGATGGCTGAAAGTGGATTATGCGCATGATTAGAGATCACAGAAAAAGAAGACTCAGAACCTCCACCTATAAGTGATAGTGCTTTAGTATAATAGGATCACTAGTATGTCTTTCAGCTTAAAAAAATATTGGCTCTCCTTCATCCCCCCCCCCACCCCCCATATTATGGCGGCCAAATAAATACCCTAACAGGGCCTCAGTCCTATGCAAAATGCAGAGTTCCTGTGCCGAGGAACAAATTGTGGCAAAACTAGGATCGGCTCCAAATAACGGGCCAATATTATTGAGGGCAAACAAATACTCTAACAGGGTCTCAGTGATATGCTAATTGGGGACCTTTTTTCTGCGACTATGCTGCACCGCCACTGCGAAGCGGATTGGGGGCTAAACTAGATGGCTGGGACTCATGAGCAGCAGCTACCGCATTTCCTGCAATATCCTCCAATTTATTTGCTCGTGAGTCCCAGGCATCTAGTTTAGATCCCCATCCACGCCGCTACGCAGCACGAGGGATACTGTCGGTGCTGAGTTTAACCGTGTTTTGCGCATGCCGAAAAGTGTGAGGACAGCAACGACACTAATCTGCGTTGGAGCGTGTGGTCTCCCTGCCATGTCACTATTATCATCTGTAATGTTGCATGTCTCGAAATTGTCAATGGTCGCTATTATCGTCTGGAGTGTTGCGTGTCTTTAAATTGTCAAGTAATCCTAGTTCTGCCATGATGTGTTCGTCGGAGGAAGTCCGCATTTTACTAATGACTGAGGCACTGTTGGGGTATTTGTTTGGCCGCCATAATATGGGGTGGGGGGTCGAAGGAGAGCCAAAGTATTAAGTCTCCTTCGCAGCTGCAAAATGATGAAACTGGAATGATTTATTGTTCTAATTTAGACTTTATATTTGTCCACCTTACGAAAGAGTACAGAATGAATGAGGATTTGACATCACTGCAGTCAGGTCAGTCCTATAAGTTCTCGTCCCCTTCGGTTGGAGAGTTCCCACAAATTGACGGTGGAAGCTGCAACAAACATCATTTATCATTCAACATCATCTATCTATCGTTTCCCCTGCGACATAAAAAACGTCCAGACGCTATTATGAATACAGAAAAACATACAAAGCGTGTAGTATCCAGAGATTCAACTGTATAAGACACAGACAGACAAAATACACACAACTCTTCCTGGAGCTTTACGAAACCGACGTTCCTGTAAAGATAGTGTCAAGTCCAGTCTCGTTACTAAGCACCCCCCTCCATGTTTGTTGCAGAAATGTTTACTGTTGTCGTCAAATGAACAGCCAACAAATGGGTTGTCGTAAACTTTCACCCAAAGTAGCATTTATTAATAGTTAATGAGTGGGTAATTAACTCAAGACAACAGAAATTTAAGGCATTTTTAGAAAGACGTAAAGAGTCATTTGATATGTAATTACTATCTGTACTTGTAAAATGAAAAATGCCGAGAAGTACTATATTGTGATGTGGTTTAAACCAGGTTCTTGCCAGGAGTTCGTTTATTGTGGTTTGGTAGAGAATCTATACATTATATAATACACCCTTGTTGAGTGAAAGCAAACTATAGTAATATTAACAAATGTAAATACCTTTACAGCAATCAATTATACAAATTTCATAATATCTATTATTACATAGATATCTATTAAGAGTACGGTGGCCGAGTGGTTAAGGCGTTGGACTTAAGATCCAATGGAATTATTTCCGCGTGGGTTCGAACCCCACCCGTACTAGTACATTTTTTAAAAATTTATTCCCCATTATATATAAATGTCGCTCATTTAATTTTGTTAGATCTGTAAAATATTGCAGTCCATTGCTTTATATTAAGATAAGGAGGCCAGTGGGTATGTGGTCTGTTAGATGAAAAGATGGTACAACACATAACAAAGTGGAAAAATAGACTGAGATCCATATGTAACGTATAAGTGGCATGAAGATGATTAATTAACCGTTAGCAACGAAACATACGATAAAGGCT